CACACCACACCACAGGGAGGGGGCGGAGGAACCATTGGGGGAACGAGCCGGGATAATATATGGTTTGGGGCTTTAGTTCGATCCGTAACAGCAAGCTGCTTCTACTACAGCTACTACTGTCCGTGCTCCAACTCGTACTCCTACTCCTACCGTGGCCAACACTGCAAGAGTGTTGGCGGCAGGCAAAAACTGTGGGTGGGTACTGGCAGTTTGCGGAAGGTCCGCGGAAGGTGCGCGGAAGGGGATTCCCCCCAAGTCGATCCTTTACGATTCGTAAGTGTCGCCGCAGTTGTCCATGAGAGGTTGCGGCAAGCTAACGACAAGAAACGACGGGTGTGTGAATGTTTGGGGTAGGAAAAGTCGGTGTGCTACTCTGATGGGAAAGCTGCATGGAAAATCATCGCACGGTACGTGGATGTCGGTTGTGGGGGTCGTCTGAATGTGTATCGGGTACATTCACAAACTTACGCAAACTCGAACTTCAGACACTGCGAGTACGGTTTAATTCTTCAATCAACCGACACGTTCTGGCTTCCTGAAACGGGTCTCGTCAAGACTACAACTGCACCCGCGGAAGGCAAGGTAGTGTAACGTAGCGACAACACGACGCGGAAGGGTTCTGCGGAAGCAAGTGGTTCCAGGAGCTCCGCAGAAGCACCTTTTCGCGCGCGAAACGGATGCGGAAGGGTTTTGCGGAAGCGGGATTAATTTCCTTTAGCTTTTCGTTGTAAAAAACCAAAGCTCTGATTTGCTCCAGCCTGTATTTGATGAGGGCTGTGCCTGCAAGGAGTTCTCTCGACCTTCAAACATGCACACTCCATCTTCGAACTGCAGGAGAGAATCGCCACCAAACGTCGGAGTGCCAAAAAGGACCAAACTGCAGTGATAGTACTCTGTCAACGCTAGACGCTGACGAGAAGGAGACGGGACGACTTCGCTGACATGCTCTTCGTTACTCTTTGTTCATACTTGGGGGTCTTCGGCAAGTGCGAGAAAGTTCGAGCGCGAAAGTTCGAAGCCAAAACTGGCCAGAGGTGGAAGAGAGTACTTCTGATCATGAGCCATAGGCGCAAGTAGGATACATGAAGCATTGGATGGCTTACACGAGCGGGCACCTGTCTATCCTTACGCAGGCTTGCCTCAAAGCCTGAGCGTTCACGGCACGAGATCGCGGATCGAGGTGCTTCCGGGGGAGACAGGTTGTAAAGGGTTGCATCGAGCCTCAATCAGATGCGTCTGACAAACCTGTCGGTTGTGTGGACAACGGCCGGCCGCGCAGAACTGAAACCGAGGCTCAGCATCACCTCTTACGGCCACCGCGGCCGTCTTGGCAGCAGGTATCATGGTCAAGAGGCCAACTTAGGGCAAGCTTTTCTGAAAGCAATGCTTGCGTTTCTGCAAGCAGCTTAGTCAGAAGCCTCGCCCGCCGAAGGCGAGTGGAGCCCCGGGCGACAGCGCGGGTTCTCAGAGATTGTCGGGTCGGGACACGATGTTGCTGAGGTTGAAAGCATTCGTGGATCTGTAGCTCTGTCATGGAAGCAAAGACGTTGAATGCACCAGGGCTCCTGATGCCTTGGTGTCCGTTGTTTGTTTGCCGTGACCTGAGGGGAAGAAGGGGCCGCCGAGAGCTGCAGCCTTGCAGGCCCGATAATCGTAGCCTTGGGCTCCTTGGGTCCTTTCAGAATTTCATGGCTTCTTCTTGGAGGTGTGGCACAGACGCAGAGCTTTGCGCACAAGCTAGTAACTGAATGTCGTGGAGATCACACTTCCGGAAATGGAGCTATCTCATGTATGAGTTACTGGACTAAACGAGGATTCACATTGCGACGATGAGCTGCTCCAGCATGATGCATGCAGAGCAACGTGGATTACGTGGCTCCGAGTCCTCGCGTCTGCATGCATCCTGAAGCAGGATGGCACAGCAACAGCACATATTTGTCGTGGACAATGCTCCTCGTTTCGGCAACCTCGTGCTAAACTGGTCCAGGAGGCAGACCACCCAGGCTTGACGCGATATATACAGCTGGAGTCGTTCAGCAATGGAACTGGTGGAAATGCAGCTGGAGAGTCTGGCTACCTGAAGATGTTCTCAAGAACTTGCTGTGTGAGCCTTGACACACTGACACTGCGTTCGGTCCCTTCCGTCGCATACCGTCACGTCGATAACGAAGCTCCATGAGCAGCTGCCTCAGCGAAACTCTCGCTCCAAGAGAGCTGCAACAGCGATCGTTTTGGAGTTGAAGGTCCCAAATCTGTCTTGTTCCAGGGGAGAGTGTGTGAGAGCAAAAGGAACCCACTGAACCTGAAAGGTGATACGAGATCACATCGTGAAATCACGTGCAATCTAGCACACCAATTCCCAAGAATCTGAAGCAGGGCCTTGTTTGTGCCCTGCGGAGAGTCTTGACTTGTCTGCATTGCAGGTCCGAGCCGCTGCGGTAGATGACCGAGTTGAAACGGCGCAGGCCTGCACGCTTCTCTGGTTCCGCCGTGCACCATTCCCAGGACGTGCACCTGTGCCGATCAGCACAGGCTGGTGTTGCAACTGATATCACTGAATGTACCAGGCTGATTCCATGGGGCGGGGAATGGTCTTGGCCCGATGTGTCGTTGCCTTGTCTACTTTCGAAGATCTACGTTCGGCATTGCCTGAGGTCATACCAATGACAAGGGTGGAGGGCTTGGAGGAGGTGAAGCTTGCTCTGAAGCTGGTGCGCTTCTTACGCAATGAATGCACTACCTTTGTGTCCTCGGCTCTCGCTGGCACGCACTAGCAACTCAGGCTTGCATCGATCCTTCACTTGGCGGCGTAGGCTGTGCTTGCTTTCGAGACTATTTCAAGATGTTGATCTCGGTTTCATCTTTTTGGCATGATGTCGGGGGAGATGGAACAGTCTAGACACTCAGCACAGTTTTTCAGAAGACGGCGGGCGGAATGTTCCTTGGCCGCCGGCATCTGCAGTGCACTGGCAGCTGCTTTTGCTGGGAGCCCAGTGTTTTGCCGTTTCCACTCCTGGTATGATGTGAGAGGAATCTCCGGTGGCCATGGGACTGGAAAAACGTTGTAACCTCAGCGCTGACGGAAGAACGGGTCAGCGGGTGACTGCAAGAGCAACGCAGGACGTTGGCCCGCTCACTACGGGGAGTTCTCCCCAAAATTGAGGCAGGACGAGGAGAGCCTAGAGCCGACAGCCAGATTTCCCCACCGCAGGTTGTCACCAACTCGATTTGCAACTGCGATCCCAGCAAGCCATCAGAGTTCGCGCCTCATGTTTGCTTGCTGTCTGAGCCTTGGGCATGCAGCTTTTCAGCTTGTGTCTGGCATGAAGCACACCTGTAAGGAGGGTTCATGATGTGCATAACTCCTCTTGCAGGTGGGACAGATTGACTCGCGAACGGCTAGAGCGCGACGATAAGGTGTGCTTGCTGATGTGATGGCACTCCTTGGCATTGCTGTCACCACTCGGGAGTACATGATTCAGCCAGGGTGATGTGGCGACCAAAGTGATCGATTGCCCATTTATAGAACTGCCGGGACCCCACGCAGCGGCTGAATGCGCTTAAGCGCCAGTTCTGGTGCCTTAAACGGTCGGACGGCTGTGCCACAGCAAGATCCTCGCTGCCCCGCTTGCTAAGTCGAGATGTTCCGGCCTGCTTAAGTTACCAGCGCTGAGGAGCAGATCATCATGCCAATAGTCATGAGCGCTTGCTAACGAATGCTCGTCTCGAGGCCTCTAGGTTGCACCGAAGATCGTCTGGTTGGCTCATTGGACGTCCAGGCTTGTGGTGACCAAAGACCCCCCGCAACCACAGCTGTACTGCGTCTGAAAGAAGTACACTGCAGGCATCAATGGAAGCCGGGCGGCCGATTTTTGAGCCAGGTTTGCAAGCGCCTCGTCCACCGCCTCAGAGTGCATTTGTCATGTTTTCACCTGGGTCCTCTGGCCGAGGCTTGCGAAGGCCCATCGGGGTGTGCTGTACATCGACGACGTCAACCTTCTTCAGGCCCGTTGGGACTCACAAACTTGACGTGCCGCGGAAGAGGGTCACTGCACTGAGGATGACCTTGTGAGCTTGCTTCTGACGGTGCTTGACTCAGAAAGTTGCTGCGTGCAGACTCTGCGCAAGATTGTCGTTTCTCACCAGGCGGTCGAAAGCGGAGTAAATCGAGTTGAGCGAGAGGGCCTTTCGGTGGCCAGCAGCTTAGAACAGCATTCAAGTTCATTCCATGCAGTCTGCGAATCACTCCTGCGTGATTGAACTTCTCGATGGTATTCCAATCGAGCTGTGCAATCCGAGCCAAAAGTGATCACTTCCATCTTGAATGTTGTTTGGTGCCAGCTCAGGGCACTGCTGCGCCAAGCTGATCAGAGTCTTTCGCCGATCCAATCAACCCCACCTTAATCTAGGACATGCTCTCATCTTGTCTGCGCTGCGCAAGCCCGGATGCCATGGAACACTGGTTTCAGCTGTTTTGCCATGTCACATTTTGTCCGCTGGATGATCAGGGCGATGTAGGAATCTGCTGGTCGGAGTGATGGTTCAGACGTCGGGTAGTGATGCAGCACGCTTTATTCACGCAGATTTCTCGCAGTGATGCTGAGTAGAGGGAGTGGAAGTGTGGGCTTTCTTCTCTTGTATGTGTGCACATGTGCGTACATTGCTTGGAATGTGAGCAGCGCACATGCAGGGAGATGGGAAAATACTATTTCGGCAACATGCATTGCATATGGGTCCTAGCTCCTGCCCCACTTGGATTTCATTGAATACTGTCCAGAGCTTGTTGCAAAAACAGCCATTTCCCGTGGAAGATGCGGCTGAAACGCTGCTCCTTCTGCACCTGCTCCTTCTGCACCTGCTCGCCCTCGACCCTGACCCAAATGCAGGCCATCCGTCTGGGTACCCACACCCCTGCCGCTGTCACTCGCAGGTGCATGCTTTATCAGGCTTTCTCTGTGCACGTGGCAGGGAGTCTTGCGCAGACGTTTGTTCTTGTTGTCGTGTCGCTCGACTACCGGTTGTTCAGCACGATCAAAGATACCTATAGTTAGTGATGCCAGGCAACCCACATGCGAAGTGTTCGAAGCATGATTCACCAGTGGTCACAGATACCCCAGATCAACTTTTGAACTTTCATAATCCAGGCACTACAGCAGACAATAGCATGTCGGTCCTGCACCAGGCCAGTGTGAGTGCGCAACCCTGCCTAAGGACATGCTCAGCGAGACCCATGTGACAGCACCCCCTAAACCCCAAACCATCCCAGCCATTATTTGTTCATATTCATGCTCTGCTGTAGCAACGCGACGGGCAACAGAGCTGTGTACCCGAACCTGTTCGAGGAAAGGATGAACCGCCAATTGGCGGATCGCCTGCTTCGGGCATTTGTGAAAAGCCAACACTCAAACAGCACCCAACACAAACCAAGCCGAACGGAACAAGCCATTCTCCTCTGCAGCAGCTTCGGTCCTAATGTATCCGGGTCGGAGAGGCAGCCACACATGTGCCAGGACACTCTCTTCAATCATTACATAATAAAACTGCATGGTGAGCACCGTCGTATGGGCATTGAAGCACAAGGTCACGGAGCGACATGCCCATTTGGTGACCTTGGTGCCACCCTGATCCTACTATCCGGCTACACATGAGCAAGGTGGCAGCAAAGCCGGGCCGTGCCGTGTGATTCCGATCTCAGCATGTTCCGGGTTGCTTTGAGGGCCAGAGAGTTCGTTGGCGGAATGCCCGGGTGTCAACACTTTGAAGTCTGTTAGCGATGGACGTAACAGACGGCCATATTAACCCTCGACTGCACGTCCGGGCTGTCCTTCGCGCATGCACAGAGCAGAAGTCGTGGCTGAGTCTTGCGCAGCATCGATATCAAGGGCAAGTTCCACCGTCTGCACGGCAGCGATGATAGTCGAAAGTGCAGTGGAGCTTGCTGTCGTAGGGTAAATGCAAATCCCACAGCAGTCTGCTGCTTGCTCCCTCCAAGAAAACCTTGCCGTTGAGCCTACATTGTGTCGCTGCGGACGGAACTGCGAAGTCTGGAGCGGTGGCTCTGGGATGCAACCACAATATGACAATATACCTGGAAGGTTCGCAGAGACCTTGGAGCATCTCTTTAACCTTACCAGAATTCATCACAACACGGTGCTAGCAATCCTTGCACAGGGAATGCACGGGAGTTCAGCTGTGTTGTTTTCCAACTTAAAGCACGTTTTCGTAGACCGTTGCTCAGTACCATCGTCTAGCCGTGTGTGGAAGAGTTCTAACTGAGGCTCATCCTTGTCGCCCACTCGTTGTGGCCACGTGGAACCCGGAGGAAGGCAAAGAGCAGCGCCCGACTGCTTTGATGCGGTGCCTAGCGGTCGCCGTAGCCGTGTGACAGGTCCTCTGCGGCCGCATCTCTTGGATCGCCTGGCGGTCTCGTTGAAACCTCGGTCTTCTTGCGCAGTGTTTTCTGCGGCTGTCTGTGCTTGTTGCACATCGCGTTAACTGACACTCCACTCGGGTGACAAATCCTGCTAGGTTGAACACGGACATCGACACGGTTTACACCGACCTCGATGAGCGCGTCAGTGCTGCAAATGCAGCTCTCGACTTTGCCGAGAGGCGGAGTCTCTGGTGTTACCACAGTTCGCGAACGTTAAACAACAGTTTGTCAAGTTGCAGGCCAGCACAGTCACTGGAAGAGAGCAGTGCAGACATCTCTGCCATGCAGCTGAACCCTTAGCCGACAGTCTGTTAACAACGCCAAACCAAGCTAGTTCGTCTAATGTTTGACCAAGGACGCAGCTCCTGTTTGCGCGTGAATTCCTCAATGATGCCCGGGACTTTCCTTTCTCCAGTTTCTGCTGGCAGTTGCTTGCTTCGGCCTCGACATGTTGCGAAGCTGAAGCAAACGCTTGTTGCTTCGCCATTGAAGCACGACATGAAGCAGTCTGGAAGCGAGCCGCACTTTTGAATGCCACGAGGATAGTGCCGCATGAGCGATCTTGCAGTTTTGATTTGGATCATTGACTTTGCATAACTTTGCATGTTCGTGTGGCGGGTTCAATGTCTGCAGTTTATGTGAGGAGCGACCGTTTCGTGCCAACGAGTGGCAACACATTTCCGAAGGACCCTTGGGGAGCATGCTTCGTTCGTGGCCTCGGTGCCTTGGGTGTAGCGAGAGCCAAGCATGTGGTCTCTCCGCGTTTCCGGATCGGACAACTGATGTTCACATCCCTGCGTTCCTCTTGGATCACGATCCCGCTCCATTGCTCCAGCAGAGCTTATCTTGCCACATCTTTGGCAAGCAACAGTCTTAGGCTGCTTTTGTTTTTGATTTGTGTGTGTGTGTGTGTGAATGCGTGTGTTTGTCACACCCTCTGCACTGGAGGTTTGTCATGCAGGGGGCAGCAGGGAGTCCACAGTTCTGCTGCCAACGAAAACAGCTGTGGATACTCCGTGAAGCAGGTTGGGACGCCAATCTGTGTGTCAGCTTCGAGAACACAGATCAGAGGGCATCTAGATCAGTCAAACAGGTCACGAAAGGGCAGTCAAGTTCACCAAGAACATCAAGAGATCGTGATCCCAGGAATTCCCCTGACTTGCTTACAGAGGTTCGACAGTGCAGAGACATCACGTAGCGAACTGTGGCCAGGCAACATGGGCGCGGTTCCTCGCAGTCTGTGGGAATACCTAGCCAGGGATAGCCAGGGTTCCTCGCAACCTGCGAGAATGCCTGTTACTTCAATCGCATTGGTTGAACGGTCTTCAAGAAATGCCCTATCCATCGAGGACGTGAACTTCACGGAAGATCAAATTCGCGAGGCAGTCAAGTAGCAATCGGTGGCAGCACATGCCCAAGCCAGTGAAACTCACTCGGCACAGATTGTTCAGTATGAACAGATAGTGAATGGGCTATTGTCCAAGATCGCAGAGATGGGGCAGAAGATCATGGCTCCACACTTCGAGAGGCAGAGGAATACCGCCCAGGCGGCGATGTGTGTAACCAACCTCTGTCTATTTACTTTTGAGAGGTAGTGTCGGCATCCTGTCAAAGGGCCGGGCATAGCCGCTTGATATAGCGAAGATCACATTTTGCTTGCAAATACCTGCTTTCGATCTTCCTGATGACAGCTCAAGCCCTTCCTGAACTGCATCAGCACGGTTGATTCTGATCTTCAGCTGGTGTCGTTCCGGCAACTGCAACTTTTCAGGGAATCATGACGGGGCTGCGGGGTGGGCCCAATACGACGACAGGAGGCCAGGACCCAAGCCGCAACATGCGGCGCGGGACCCGTACCCGCATCATGACGGGGCTGCGGCTTTGACATGCGATCCGCATCATTGCTGCATCATGATGGGGCTGCGGCTTTGTTCTGCGAACCTACATGATGACCCCGTCCATATTGCTCCCTACTTCTGCTACGTATTCCCCTCAAAACAGGGGGCGTGTGTATGTCCACCCCGTTCCCAATGTTCCGATGTGCAAGCAAGTGCAAGTGATATTGTAGTGGGGGCAGGGCTCCAGTGACTAGCTTCGCCCAAAAGTTCAGTCACTAGAGTGGATGCAGTGGCTGATCACCACTGGTATACCTGCCATACTCGTATGTGACATCGTGTATCATATTCGCTGTGCACTGTTTGAACAGTGACGTGCTTTCGAGAGTCGCAGTGATGGCGAATCTATCGTTCGAAACCAGGGCTGGGCTGTGTTGGGCTGGGCTAGCTGGGCTGGGGCTTTCATTGTGAGTCGAGACCTGGAGACACATTGGTGTCAAGTGTGTGTGTGTGTCTCTGTGTGTGCGTGTGTGTGTGTGTCTGTGTGTGTGTGTCTGTGTGTGTGTGTGTTTGTGTGTGCACTCTCACGGCGTAAGCCAGCTCCATCTTCTACTCGTCTCCGTCTCCGAACTTGTACATCGCCATGCTCGATGAGCGTCATGTGACGCTTGAATATGCTTGAATCAGCTTGAACCTTTGGCACCGACAACTGTGTTTGAACCCTCATAATGTATCGGGTGTGCTGCAGTGCAGATTTGCTGCAAACCGTGCTCATGTGATTACAGACTGACTTTGCCCGAAGGTTACAATCAGTCCGGATCAGCTCCAGCGCTTGGCAGACGAGGCTAGTCGAGGTGGATGTGAAGGACCAGAAGAGTTCGAGCCCTTTCCACGAATTCACATCTACATGGACATTGGTTGCACGCACGGTCGTACCTTGCAGTATTTCTGTGAGAAAGGACACCGCGGGGAAGTCTTTGCCGTCAAAATTGCCCGAGCGCATGCTGCTCTGCAGGGCACGACCCCTTGGATTCCTTTGCCCGGCTTCCACGAGCACTGAGCAAGCGTGTGTAGGCGCCATTTTGGCAAGCACGCTTTGTGAGGTCGCGATGCATGCAATGCCGAAGATCTAAAGGAGGCAATCAAGCTTGCGATTCTGCGAAACGCTCAGGGTGGGTCAGTGCGTAAACATCTCAACCGGTGTTGAGAGGGTTCGACTTCGAAAATCAACGAATCCTGTGCGCTCTAAGGCCACGTATCAGAGTGCAAGAAGCCAACATGCAGGAAGAGATTGAGGTACTGCCGAGACCGCTGTCAATCCTGCCGCTGTCAGATGTGGAGATTTGAGCGGTTCCATCAGGGCAGATTGGAAGTTCAGCCTGTTTGCATAGCAACATGCAAATTTCGTGCGTTTGTGACCATGCAGCACGTGCGGCGAGACGATAGCTTGTATGTCTACAATATGTCAGGCATGGCTCAGTGAAGGTAGTTGTACATGTCCTTGTTATAGATGCAGGCTTGAATCCAATGAATGGCAGGTAGGTGCATAAAATTCGTGCCAGGAGGAGGAGCCCCCTCCGCCACCGCCCCCACCTCCGCAGCCAGATATGGAAGATCCAGAGGCCGGGTGGCGGAAGGCTTTTTGGCGCTGGCACTTCTGCCTGTCTTGCAGGAGATGGAGCCTCCTCCACCGCAGGAACACATATGCATGCCATGAAGTTGGACTGTGCAGTGCACCGTTCGTGTCCGCATTGAGTTGCATAACTGGAACAGGAACAGGAAGAAGAGGACAGAGAGGAAGAGGACGAACCAGAGCAAGACGAGCAAGACGAGGTCAGGTCGATAATTGCAAGCACTTGGTTCTTCCTATGAATCGACCACCAAACCCAGGAAGATCAAGATCCAGACGTCCCGGAGGAGTTCATGATTGATCCAGAAGGCTTCAAGCCGCCAGCATGAGACCTCGTCGGGAAGTATGGAATGGTGGCCTCAGGTGCCGTGGTCGACCCTGACCTGCTCAAGTTTCAGAGCCAGCAGAAGAAGAGCGGCACCGGCCTCGATGGCTTTCACGTTCTCGCTTTCAGTGCGGCGGTATGCAGCGGTTCCAGGCGGTTCAGTCGTCTCTTACATTTGGCGTCCAGTGCTGCAGCCTGGTCGGGTCATCACGGGGCTCTTTTGATGTCGGCATGTGGCACGCTTGTCTCGCCCTGGCGGGCCGCTTAAGGTGTCCTCCCGTCTCGGCCTCTCCTGCTCCTGCTCGCTAGCTACCCTGTCGTTTCCCCATTGGGCTGCACTCGGCGGGGCTTCTGTGTGTGAGGTTCCCGGCTCTGTCTCTCTCTGCTTTCTCAGAATCGATCCTGCAATACCGCATCGCTTTGGCCACCTGGGTTGTTGTTCACAGCCCGGTGCTTGTTTGCACTGTTTCAGAAAAGGTCATTGCGAAATATGGGGCACACCATGCCAGAAACTGCAGACGGCAGACGCAAGGCACGGAATCAAAGCCATGGAAAAGGCATCGCAAGAATCATGGGGCAGCGAAGGAAGGCGTGCCTGGTCCGCCAAATCACAATCTCTCTCGCTCTTTCTCTCTCTCCCTCTCTCTCTCTCTCTTTTTCTCGCGGTGGGCGAACTGTTCGTCGTGTGCTCCACAAGTAGTACACTAAAAAGCTGCTTCCGGTACACCAATGTGTAGGGCAGTGTAGGAACTCGTAGACTTGGAGAGTTGGAGATTCAGATGGAGTTTCGTTTTATTTGACATGCCTCTTGCCAGAGATTGTCTTAATCTCGAGGTCGCAGTGGTAAGGGCAACAAGATCTACTCAATGGACCGCGGCCGCTACGTCAAGGCCATTTTTGCACAGTCGGTTTCTTTAGTCTCTTTATTCGTACTTGTACCAGGAATTTCTAGGCAGGGTCACTGCAGATAATTTGGCGACACCGCCTTGACACCCGTTCAAACAGGTGCTTAACGAACAGATGAATTTGATAGAGCCTTGCTCATTCGGCGAACTTCCAGCTGCATGCTGCCGACCATAGTGACAGTCCGGTCATTTGTCTTCCAGTCCAATTGCAACGGGCAGGAAGTAAGCTTTCCACTCTCTCTTGGGGGTTCGCTTTCCCGAGAAGACATTGACATGTTCAAGCCGGTGCATTTCGAACGCCGGTTAGTTCGTGTCAAGTGCTTCCACGAGTCCCACGTCACATGCATGTGGAGGCAGCCATGCCGAAACACATGCATCATGAATCGTTTCGACACGAGGAGGGAGCCTGGCCTTGAGCTGGTAGTTCGGACTCGGTGATTGGATGACTGCCATGAACAGCACATGCATAGTTTCGGCTTCTGGCTTGCAATTCCATGCAAACTAAGAATCTGGAGACCCGGCTGCAGCCAGCATCAGCAGCCTCGAAAGAGACCGGTTTCTCCTACCGAAACTTGTGCAAAAGAGGCCCATGCAAGGCTCGACATCTGCCCTAAACAGCCACCCCCCGGCCAGCTCCAGGTGGGGGACAAAACGGGTATTGAACGAAGCTCCCCGCTCCGGGGGAGTTTTGGTGACCAGTAAAGATTGAGCTAGACGTGTGTCGAGCCATGACGGGAAAGAAGAGATGCAGCGCTTTATCAAGCGCTCAGTTGCCAGAGCGCTGTAATCTTAAATCTGATATAACTCATGCTCTTGTTATGATGTTGCTCACTATGTACCCTCTCGACATGCAACCGCAATGTTGGCTGCTTGCATGAGCACTAAGATTGGGCAGCATTGACATGTGGATTCGTGTGAGTACAGTACCTTTCAAGGGCATGTGTGACATTTGTGCATTGGATTGCACGGGGGATGTTTTGGATTCAACAGCAACATTGAACCTTGTTTCTGCCTTGTCAGCGGTTGTGCTCGTCTAATGAAATGCACGTTGTAGACTCGCTTTTGAGAGAAGAAGCCGCACAGGGCAACAAATCCTACTAATGGCGTTTACAACCGTCATGAGCGAGCTGCTTTTTGTATCGCTTCACGAGATGCAGGGCATGCAGCAGGCATTTTCCTGGCAGTTATTGACATACACTGACACTGTCTGATTGCATGTTGTTTGTCTGTCCCAGTTTTGTCTCCAGCCCTGTCCATTTGAGAGCTTTCGTCACAGCCCGTGGCTCTTAAGTTTGTTTGGCGCAGCTTGATCCGTGTTACCCCTTTTGGTGAGCCTTTGGTGACCTGAAGATGTCGCGCGGAATACTCTGCTCTGGCTTACTTACTGCTGCAAAGCCTATTGCCTCCCACTGGAAGTAAACTGCAAAGGGGAGCTGGAATCGATGTTCAACTGCTGGCTGCACAATGCCAGGTTGTTTAGAAGGGCTGCATTGAATGGATTTGTGCAGCGGTTGGAATTGATGACCTGCGCGGACTAGAGCTCCGTCGCCTTCTACTCGCTTCAAACAGCTTTGGAACATTCCAGCCTGTTGATGAAGGCACAGGCTGCAAAAATCTTGCAAGCCCGTGAAGCTCATGTAATTGTGCAGGTCCTGGTGTAGCCATGTACCTGGTTCAGTTCCTGCAGTGTCACGGCATGGCAACTTGCTCTCCAGGCGATGCTACCTAAGGGTGGTGACACCAAGAGTGGCAAGATTGCCTTGGACGCAACTCTCCGAAACGCGCGGGCCCGAACAGCGTAAGACTCTGTCAATCGCAGCAAGCCACTTTTCGCTGACATGCCCATCAGTTGGCCTGTACCGTACAGCCTCCCGAAAGTATGCGGTGGGCCGGGCTGAGGCTGTGGTCTACCAGAAGATAAGAAGAGAAGAAGCAGCAAAGAGGCTTAAGCCTGAGGCCCGTCCATAGGACATAGGAGCTGAAGACTGTACAGGACTCTTAGCGTCAGTCGCTTCAATGACGATTGGAAGGACCAGCGAAATGTGTATGTGGAGCGAAGCGACATTTGGGTGAAAAAGATGGCCCGCAAGGCAGGCTAAGTAACAAAAGGATGCGTGAAGATGTGTCACTCCATGTTGAACTGCCAGGCTGGTGCTCTTGTCATTTTCGTTGTCGATGCAAGTGGCCCTTTGCTGAGCCGTGTATCAGATACTTGCGTTGCAGCTCTTCTGTCGTAGCCTTTCAGGTTCCATGGCATTGAACCGAATGCAGAACGCTAAAGGGGCCGTGCTCCGACTGCTTGAGAACGCCTATCAAAACCGAGATCAGGCATGTGGCTCGGTTCCTGCAGGGAGGGTCTACTGTAGAATGTGGCTCGTCGCTCCGGTGGCCAGGTGGCCCTCATTCCGTGCCGTGGCATCTCGGCAGAGGCCGCACGTTCCATGCTCGTAGGCTGCGAAGCAAGCGACCAAGGGCATCCGAACACAGAGACAGGACGACAGCGGAGACGGGAGATGCAAAGAACTAGACGGATGTTGGAGTTCCGTCTAGGAGGGTCAGCCCTTGGCTACTGTACGTGCTACTGTCATTAGAGGTGAGTCAGCCATTTACCATTTGGAAGAGAGACGGGAGCCGCATGTGCACTCAGCTCCTTTGTCATGAGGTGGTAAGAAAAGTCACCCACACATCAGACTCGAAAAAATGCTGTTGCCCGGACCTGGAGCAAACAAACAAGAGATAAGCAATTGAAACCACATTCTCCGCTCAGCTGCAGGCTTAGCATGGATGGGTTGAGGATGAGCACGAGGGGGGGCAAGGGCCGCACAGCAACATCGACGGTATATCCAAGCCGCAGACTGTTGGTAAAGTGTCGGAGTGTCTCGGATAAGCCTTGATCCTGTTGGGAGACTTTCAAGGTCGGCGGAAATGTTGTATGGCAAGAAAACTTGGACGTCTCGGCAGGGTTGATAATGATTGAGACTGGGAATATTGCCGACAGATGATCCGGATCCCCGCACGTTCAAATGAGGGTGATGATGATGCCCAACGGTCCCAATCCACAGCCGTACGCAACCAACCTCCATGAAAGACCGTTACCAGCCCAGACCCTCCCAAAGAGCTCCAAGTACCGGCCGAGACCCCAACCCTTCGAGAGTTTAGGGTTCGAGCGTAGCTCCTATCGGAAGGTCAGCAATTCCACCAATCACAAGCCCCGATGCTACGCCTTTCATCCTCCCGAAGACCTGCCACCAGAATCCTTTGGCCGGTTGCGTCATTGATTGTCCATTCCGGCGGATTCCGGCGGCAGTCAAGCCTCACACCGGTACAGAGCCGTGCAGCGCACCTCGCCTGCTGTTATCGTGCGAGGTTCTGGCATGATTCGTTGGCTGCAAGCGAGATGGGCAGATCCTGTGTTTGTTTTGTACGTGATGCAACTTGGTGTTGCGACCCAAGTTTGTTGCAGGTGCTCGTCCAGCCAACATCGTCTGTCGCGCGTGCCAGCGGAAGCATGAAGGCAGGAGGATTGGTTTCGTAGGCCGCAGAACTAACGTCATGTTCTGCAATCTTCTAACTTGCTCTACTGAACCCACGTGCCACGAGCACCGACGTCATCATTGTTGTCATCAGGAGTGCCGGTAGCACCACTGGCACCACCAGCCCAGCTTCAGCGACATTAGCATCATGGTTGAACTGCTAACCAATATGCAGGGCAATGCCCAAGCATCGTACAGCAGAGCACCATCAGCTTCTGGGCAGCGCACCGTCTGCAGTTCCCGTTTGCATGTGGTCGCGGTGTGAGTCGAATATTTGCGGAGTCCCTTTTGACTTGCAGTACTTCGCAGGTTCTGCCATGCGGTGGTGGCACTCCCCTTGCGCACGCACTTTCACAGGCAAGGCAGTAAGCAAACCACTGGCCGTGTTGACAGCTGCAAATCTATTACACTTCCCTCCACTCCACCATGTCTGCTACCGCGCTACGCACCTGGGATCTTTTCTGGCTGTGCTGTGTCCTGTCATCTTGGGGCACATTGGGGCTCATCGAGCCTTCGGCGGAAACTAGCAGTGCAAAGTCTTCTGCGAGTGAGAACCTGACCGGCTTCAGGCCATCATCTTGGGAAGCAATGCGATGAAGAGTTCCGATGTTGGACAGGTGTGGCATGTTTTGATCCAGCTGAACCTCTGAGTGTTCTCGTGGGCTCGTGGCAGGTTTGCTGTGTGGCCATCACTGATGGTCGTGCAAACGTTCCACTTGCAGTGAGCGAGGGGGACCAGAATGCCCTGGACTGGGGGTTCGGTAAGTGCCTTGCACCTGGTATCACCTGGTGCCCAGCGGGTTGCTGAACTCTGCCGCCCTGCCTACACTCGGACAGTTTGATGTGTTCAACCCTACAATTCCACACTTCAGCTCCACAATCTCATTTCAGCAGTTGCTGTGGGTTTTTGGTCGTGGATACTGATTGGGATCGGTAGTCGAAGATATCAGGCAGTCGTGCTAGTAGCGGTGTCAACATGCGAAGTCTGAATAGCGGCATGCAGCTTGCTTCAATCTAGCGGCACGTGAACGACGAGTTAGTGGGAGCTTGGAAGCACTAAAAGCACCCTATAAGGACTCCTCAGCTCGGCAACACCTAGAATTGCATGTGAGGATGAAAACGGGAAGATGAAGAAAGTGCCGAAGGAAGACTTGCAGGCCATACATTTCTGCTGCCACTGGTCCGATGGCTGTCACATCGAACTCTGAGGAGGAAGCTTATGTGCTGGCAGACAAGATGAGAGCACTGGGCGGTGCCCCCAGTGTGAACCGGCCCTGCCACCCATCACTCTGTTTAGATGGAAACGCCGACCAGCGCGCGCTAAACTTGTCAAGCTTTGCATGTGGGCAGAATACAATTGTTACAAGCTGCGTAGACAACTGCAGAGACTTGAAGTATCTGAGAGGGGGAATTCGTCCACAACCGCCCCATACTGACCAACGAACGCAGACGCGGACAGCTTCGCGAATCGCACCGGCTTAATATCTCTGAGGTGATTACACTGTATCCGCGGGCCCGTGAAGTCTCAGGCTAACACGTCCCAGTCAAAATTAGATTTTCTCGCAGGTGCGGTCAGGAAACGGCGAGGATTCTCGATTCTGCAGCACTTCCTGTCAACATGCTGCTTTCAGGTGTTAGTAAGTCTGCAAAAGCTGTAGACGATGCCGGCCGCGGTCTTGAGCCGATGGCCTCCGTTGCGCGGAGGATGGGTGATAACAGCTCTCGCACCGCAGGACTTGCTGTGTTTCTGGCAGTATTTCCAGGATTCCAGCAATGTCGCTGAGGTTTCAAGTTTCTCCTCATCGATACTGAGAACAAATATGTTTCGTCCGGTGTTGCCAAGACCCTTGTTGACCGTGCAAATGGAAGGTGCCCAGCCCAGCTTCATATGGCAAAGCCTTTAGACAAGCTGGTATGTCCTTGCTGCACCTCTTGGCATACCCTGCAGCCCAAGGTATTACTATCTACCGCGAGCCGATGACAAAGCTATTGCGACACGGCTTCAAAGCAGAAGTTCGCACGATAGCGGGAATCAGCATGGAGACCTTGTTCGCGCTTGTCTCAGGCCGGCATTGCCAGTGATGCCATAAACGAGATGAAAGCCAGATAGCATCTGCGTCAGCCAATCCCTTAATTCTTACCTTTGCTGATCAATGCAGACCAAGCTCCAGACGATGCTCTCTTTACACCGACAAGATACTTCTCGCAGTATGTCTGGAACAGTTTTTTTCCCGCTCGGCGGTGCTGGAGTTTTGCATCAACTGTTTAAAGATGACTCCCAGCGTGAAAGCTGCTCGAACTCGAAGAAAAAAGAACGACAGTCGCCTTAGCTGCAAACGCTACATCTGCGACATGGTCGCATTTCTGCAGAAAGGAGGCATTGCGGAAGATCCTCCATGTTTCAGCTGATCTGCAGCTGTGCAGTCATGAGCATGTCACATGGAGAAGCTTTCACAAGTTATCAGTTGGGATTCTACATCAAGGTACCGGTCCTCAACAGCCCGTGATCCAAGACATGTAAGAAGGGCTTTCTGCAGAGTTCTGCAGTATCGTGATGCCTCTTGTTCCACATGCAGCTTGGTGCCCGGATTTGCAGAGCTCTGCGGTGTATGTGTGTGTACGAAGAGTCAAGATTGTGTTCAAATCAAGCCACAGTGCTTGCATGAGGCCTGACACACGCTCGCATCATTCAGAGGCAAGACCAAGACGATGGGGGCCGCACGACGGCGTGATGCTTGAAGCATAAATCGAGCTTTGTTCTTGATTGTGCTTGCAGGTGCTGCAAGCAAGCAATCTGTTGCCGAGGTTCTGCATGCCAAGGACTCTCGTGTTTCAAAACATTGCTGCTTGTAGTCAGAGTTCCTCGAGACACAGCAAACAAAGCCAATGTTGCCAAGCAAGCTCCCACCGGAAGTTCGGGGCACAATGGCATAGAAGCGTGATGCTTCCTGCAGATGGCATGCGGAAATACTGCGAGACTCAAACACCTCCAGTGTTCGATCCGGGCCACATCATCAACCAATTCAGGTTGCCACAAGCCTCACCATGCATCTCCGAATCAGCCGAATCTCGTTTCCTTCTCGAGGTGAGTGTGCGCCGTTTGGCACGAAAATTTGAGCAAGGAAAGGTAACACTTTGTTCGGACATGAGAGCGACCTTGTGAAACTTCGCTTGAAGTCTTTGAGGTCCGCAGACAGACTAGACTTTCACCGGTCATAGACACTGCAAAGAACGTACCGAGCAGCGACAAAGCCAAAACCCAAAATGCAGGTGGGAGCACGGCAGCGGCGACCGGCATCGGTTTTGGTGACGGCAACACACAACAGCTTTCATGCTCCTGCAATCCATGCAAGCTCGAAGTGCCGATTGGCGTAGCCATAGCCATGCCATAGCGCATGCCCGAGGGTGGATTCGGCGACGAGTGCAGCAGCACAGCAAGTTTCGAGTTGGAGCAGACAAGATGAGAAGACTCCGATGACAGCTCCAAAGAGAACTGTGGCCCGATGATAAGTTTATGATCTCGGAGGCTCCAATGTAGATGTGGCTAGGTATTGTTCAAGAAGACCAGGACCAGATGGGGAATGGTGAACTTGCTACATCTGCGAGATCCGCTAGGGATGAATCGCTGTGCAAATTCACGAGTGGCCGGATGTGCGACAGGCTCTAAGAGGCTGCGAATGGGATTTCCTGACACACACATGTTGTAAATAATACAAGGAGTGAGATCATTTATAGCTGACTTCCAACTGCCTCGTCATGGTCGTCTTGGCAGGCAGTCGCTACACCTCAGCGAGCTTCAAACGTAATCAAACACATCCTCATCAGGCATCAGCCTGCAGTTGTAGATGTGCTGCAAGTCTCAAGTGTCTGTTCCTAGGTGCACATCAGAAATCCACTCATTGATTCCACCTTGCCCTGATCTGTAGCCGAAGATGTCTGCGTGCACTAAGATAGTCGCAAGAGCAATCGGTTTGGCGCCTGGCGCGACCGGAGGAGAGTAATTGTTCTTGCCCTCTGAATTACACCAGGCGTAGTGTGAAGTATCCTAACACATCGCTGATCATCGCTGCAAGTGTTCACTCTGAACGCCCAGGAAACCAACTGCTCGTGCTGAAAACTCGTGAACAGTATGGTACTTGTTGAAACTTCACGCCTGAGCGGCCTTAGTGCCTCGCCACTTCTGTTACAGGTCGTCCAGCTCAGCAAGCCTGTCAATCACCTCGTTTGTACTTGCAGGATGTTCTGGTCAGGTCTCCGAAGTTCATCAACAAAAAGGCCAGTGAATGTCGAGTGAGTTTCCAGCACAGCAGCGGTATATCGCAGCCTCTGTTCTGCATGTCCAGATGGCTAACTGCAGCTCGCATGAGCTCCTAACAATTTGCAGCACATACCTGTCAGAGCCCCAGTAGACTGGTTGTTGTGCGAGCCACGGGTTGGCTTGCTTGCTACACACAGTCAGACCCATGCACAGCCCAGGCCTGCCTTTGACTTCATCAACGTGGCCCGGTGCCTGGTATGCGGCTTTCGTGCGAGTGGAGCATAGCATCTGCAGAAGCTTGAGAGAGTTTCTTGCTATCTCATCAGCAGGCACTGGGAAAATTATGTGCACATCGACGCTTTGACTGCATGCGAGGGCTTACTCAGGCTGCCGCCCTCCATCGCATTGCCAAGCTACGCTGCAGTGTCGCCGCGCACTTACTGTCGCAACTGGCGTGTGGATTACCTTTCTATGACTTTCTCATCTCATGCCTACACGTCACGGCTTCATGTTTTCTACAATCCGGATGGGCACCTGCGTGGTGGCAAGAAAGAAGGTCGCACTGGTGCATCATGGTCATGCGGTTGTTGATAGAATTGGTGATGTAGAAGATGCGGGTGGCGTCATGTAGGACAAAGTAATACTGGAGATCATGGTGGGTATTGGCGATGTTTTCAATGATTCAGATCATGAGCATGATGGCTTGCCAGACTGTCCGCACATGTCTGCACATGCCATTGCACACACTTCTCGACATGCATATTGATTGACTCGATTGTCCTTTTAATTTTGCAGTCAATCCTTTGTTCAGGAGGCAGAAGCTTTGCTGTCAGCGCTCTGTGACAAGGCGGCCCACACCTCGGCCCATGATGCCTGATGATGCCTGAATTTGCCTGAAGCTATTTCAAAGGTTCCCATGCGGTGGTTTGGCACGAAAGGTGTTCTTGGAGCTGGTTTGGTAGTGCCCTGCAGTCTTTCAACGAGACCGGCGAAACAAAGCCGACGACTGTTTCGAGCTTCAACAGATGCAGTTGGAAAGACCAAACCCCTTCGTGGCGTGATAGGTTACCGATTCTGGCACGTGGCATTCTAGGTCAGCAGTCAGCACTCGTAACGCATCTGGAAACAAGCAGAAGACGTCGGTTTCTTTTGTTTGGGGTTCGGTGCTCTGACATTCGTTTAACTTCTGTAGCCGACAGAAGCTTTTGTCAGCAAGGAATCCACCTCCAGGAAGGGAAGACAATTGAAGATTGATTACCAACACTTCGTCAAGTCCAACCAAAGATTGCAGCACGTGTCTGTCGTCGTTCACGTTATCTTATTTCTTGTTACTGGTCACCTGCTGAGGTATGCAGCATTGCTAGTGGCAGCTTCCAGGCACAAGGTTCAGTTGCACTCTCAGAGGAGATGAGAATTGTTCAGGTGATGCTGCATGGGTAAGTTTGACCCATGTGGTTGAATCCCGCCCCGTCAGGCCAACACAGGCCAAGCATCGACTACCACGAAGTCACATGGACAGCCGGCGCAGTGCTCATTTGACATTGACATTCTAGTTCGCATGTGAGCGCTCATGCTTCGACCCGTCCTAACTAGCCTTCGATCGCAGAATTTCTTGAAGGAAGCACATGACTTCTCCAGATTCTGTCAAACTCAGGTGCTCGCAATGACAGCCGAGGTTTGGTAGACCTGCATCGTCCTGATCCCAGCTTGTGCAATGTCGACAGTGTTCCATTCCAGTGTATTCCAACCAACGTTTTCGCAACGTTCTGCGCACCTGCTGACCTTTGCAGCCGGGTTCACCCTTTGTTGCAGCGACTTTGCCTGCCTGCCAGCAACATGACTCGCAGTCCAGGTTCTAAGCCGCACAATAAAAACACGGTGTGCAGCGTCTACCGAGGCTGGGCTTCGGGCACAGGAAATTGCCAATGTCGGGTAAAGTTCCAGGCCTGTCTGGTGCTGATATGTCAGGTCGCCAAACTCTGTCCTGCCTGGCTGCGGTTGCAGGACGCTGGACCATTTCGAGAAGATTATGCTAGAGATGCTTGCATGCAGCAGGCACTTTGCTTGTCCGCCTAGACTGTTTTCGACGCAGTAGCTGATCTTTGACTGCCTCAGTTCGAAGACTTGAGCCGTTTCTTCACCTCAGAAATTGATAGGGGCTCCGGCGGGTTCCGGGCTGGGAGGCTGTGTTTGATGTGTTTGGCACAAGATAGGGGCACATGGCATGGAATGCCACGAGAAAGAAACTGAATGTGTTCAGAATGGCAAGACCACCGTGCCTGAATTGCTGCTTGTGTGTGTGTGTGTCTGTGTGTGTCTTGAGGGTTGTGGGGCACATGGCTGAGTTCTGTGATGCAGTTTCGGTTCGATCTATGCACGGGCTGAACATTTTGAAGTTTCGAGGGATTCCTCCTCTTTGCACAGCCTTGCAAGCGCGCACGGGCCGTGATTGATGTGGTGGTAGGCTGTCGGCACTGTAAGCGTTTGTGCCAACCGATTGGATCCGCCAGGCTGGGAAAGGAGTCGGAACTTTCGACTCAGCATTCAGCGAACCTGGTGTGGTGCTCAAGTACCAGCCAGCTTCTGCATGAAGCACTGGCTGAAATGGCTGTGCGATCCTCAGGGCATGGGCCGGGCCGAAGCTCAAAGAAGATAGCAATGTTCAATTGTATGTTTTTTGCATGGTCTTTCTTTGTGGTTGCATCTGCTTTAGGAGAGAGAGTCAAAAGGCGGTGAGTAATTGAGACAGCATGCGACATCTGTCGGGGTGCAGGCTGGTGATCATGTAACGATTACTTACATCGAACAGCGACGACGGACTCGGACACTTCGGTCCTGCGATTGGGCGGGAG